AATTTGTCAAAAAAATTGAGTTAGTTAGAATTGTCTGATGAGAACGACCCATCAGACATAATTGCCAGTCTGATAGACATGTGCAGCTGTTATACTGAACAGTTAAATCTGTCTTATGAACAGTGAAGACACTTGGAATTATACGGAATGATTAAACGACCCATCAGACATGAATGCCAGTCTAATAGACGTGTGCAGCTGTTATACTGAACAGTTAAATCTGTCTAACGAACAGTTAAGACCCTTGGAATAATACGGAATAATTAAACGACCCATCAGTCATAAATGCCAGTTCAATAGACAGGTGCAGCTGTTATACTGTACAGTTAAATCTGTCTAATGAACAGTTAAGACAGTTGGAGTTATACGGAATAATTGAAAGACCCATCATACATGAATGCCAGTCTAATAGACCGGTGCAGCTGTTATACTGAACAGTTAAATCTGTCTTATGAACAGTTAAGACACTTGGAATTATACGGAATGATTAAACGACCCACCAGACATGAATGCCAGTCTAATAGACAGGTGCAGCTGTTATACTGAACAGTTAAATCTGTCTAACGAACAGTTAAGACCCTTGGAATTATACGGAATAATTGAACGACCCATCAGACATGAATGCCAGTCTTATAGACAGGTGCAGCTGTTATACTGAACAGTTAAATCTGTCTAATGAACAGTTAAGATAGTTGGAATTATACGGAATAATTAAACGACCCATCAGACATAAATGCCAGTTCAATAGACATGTGCAGCTGTTATACTGAACAGTTAAATCTGTCTTATGAACAGTTGAGACAGTTGGAATTATACGGAATAATTAAACGACCCATCAGACATAAATGCCAGTTCAATAGACAGGTGCAGCTGTTATACTGAACAGTTAAATCTGTCTTATGAACAGTTGAGACAGTTGGAATTATACGGAATAATTGAACGACCCATCATACATGAATGCCAGTCTTATAGACAGGTGCAGCTGTTATATTGAACAGTTAAATCTGTCTAATGAACAGTTAAGACAGTTGGAATAATACGGAATAATTAAACGACCCATCAGACATAAATGCCAGTTCAATAGACAGGTGCAGCTGTTATACTGAACAGTTAAATCTGTCTAATGAACAGTTAAGACAGTTGGAATTATACGGAATAATTGAACGACTCACCATACATGAATGCCAGTCTTATAGACAGGTGCAGCTGTTATATTGAACAGTTAAATCTGTCTAATGAACAGTTAAGACAGTTGGAATTATACGGAATAATTGAACGACCCATCATACATGAATGCCAGTCTTATAGACAGGTGCAGCTGTTATATTGAACAGTTAAATCTGTCTAATGAACAATTAAGACAGTTGGAATTATACGGAATAATTGAACGACTCATCATACATGAATGCCAGTCTTATAGATAGGTGCAGCTGTTATATTGAACAGTTAAATCTGTCTAATGAACAGTTAAGACAGTTGGAATTATACGGAATAATTATATGATAGACTTTCTGTAAACGTGAAGCTGTTACCTACGTATTTTCTGTACAATACAGATGAAAGGTTACACAACAAAATACAGGGTGGCTAGATAACATCTCCTTGAATATTTTTTTCTTAAAAATATTGTGGTGTTTTGTTATTCTTACCGACGGACTTGAAGGTTACGTTACTAAGCAACGCTATACTGGGTGTATCTAAATAAAGCCGAAAAAGTTCAAGGGGTGATTCCCTGTGATATTTTAGAAAATAAAGTTTATATATAAACATGTGTCCTAACTTGCTTCGTTTTCGAAATACAGGGTATTAATCTTTCCATGAAAAAATTTTTTTTCTATTCATTTCTCAATTGTCTTTTCATCAATTTCAATAAAACGTTGTGATTTTGTTAATAGTTATATCGAGCTTCTTCTAGTGTAATTAGATTCGAAATAATATTTCCAGTAGCGTCACAGTGGGCAAATTCATCGATATTCATTGTATACCACCGGTTTTTCTGAGTTTCATATTTTTCTTTGTGTGATTTCTGTATCTAGCTTAGTTTTTGAAATTTTATTTGACATCAAATTTCAATGTATAGGTGTTTTCGAGACTTTCATTGAGATTACTCAATATCCACAATTAGAATCATCTTGAAATCTTGGGGCATTCTCAGTCTCCATCCATACTGAATTTTGGCACAATGCAAGCTTATACAGGGGGGCTATGAATAAAAACAAATAATACTTCCAACTTCAACATCCTGTATTTCAAAATTTGGAGCAAGTAAGGTCACATGTTTATGTAAACTTTATGTGCTAGAATGTCACAAGGCAACATCCCATAAATTGTTATATAGATACACCCTGTATACTCATAACATATTGCGAAACAAAGTTGTAAACAAGGATATTTACTTACCTAATCATCAGATATATGGCGAGGTGTAAAGTTAAAAATACATTTTCATAAAAATATACCTAGCCAAATCAAGGTAGACCAACAAACATTTTGAACATCATAACACATTGCGAAACTTTTACTATAGTTCAAATTCATTTTGACGAAGTTCAATATACATTTCATAGACAAAAAATTACCTAATGATAAAATATAATAACAACTTGTATACATCGTTGAATGAAAAAATGTTTCTCAATTCTAGCCAAGCCATCAAAAACATTTAGATTTAAAATAACAATAATAAGTGACACCAATTTGCAAAATGGATCTTAGTAAACAAAAAATGATAGAGCTACATAGTTTCCCTATATACTTCAAAAATTCATATATTTCTATGTAATAATTTGATATAGGTTCCAATCATCCCATTTTTATACTTTAAAACATATTCGATCGAGCGATTATACATCGCATAGGGGAAATGTGAATTGGGACACGGTGTATATATGGAACACTCCAAATTGCCAAATTGATAGTTGTTGCTTTATTAATTAACAGGTTAGTCGTATTTTTAAACTCATAACAAGTCGCCATGGCATAACTTAATTATAGAACATAATATCGAATCATCGCTCACCTGTAGTATTACCCTGGACAGCGTTGACCTTTCCAGAAGCAACCACCTGATTACCACAAACGTCCGTCATGATTCTCACCCTCTAAAAACCACCCGAAACAATATCGCCCCTTCTCGCCGCGTTACCGCGCAAATAAAACAATAGACAACCGAATTGCAAAACAAACGACACACTAGCGCTATTATTTTGTTATTATTGATGGGTCACAGTCTGCGGTGCGATTTTCCGGCGATGTACGATTAGTAGCGGTAACGTTCGATGATTTTTTGATCGGGATGCTGCACCGTTCATCTAGTTATCTGTGACATTTGGAGTTTCGATCGGAGGGTTGGAGTCACGCTTGCGCCGTAGATGCTGGAAATGTTGATGGGGATGATGCTTGCTGCACCCCAGATGACACCGGACATCTTGGTTCCTAATTTAGACTTATCGGGACTTTTGAAGATGTCCATGAAATGAAGTTATATTGACGTTAACAACAGGACAATGCAATAACGTCACGAAAGCAACGCTCTAAGTACGCCCTTGATGAAACGTTTCAAAAATGTTTATGTATGTTATGTACCCGTGACATTTGGGGAATCGACCGGACAGAGGATGAGAGTGTTGTAGTCAGTTTTGCGTCGTAGATGTTGCGAAAATTGCGGGGGATGATTAATTCAGACACCGGACGTCCTTGTTTCTAGTTTGGGCTCACTGGGACGTTTTATATCCATGACATTTTGTTATATTCACATCTATAAGGGACAATGCAGTAACATCATCAAATAATGAAATATTTCAAATGAAAGCAACGTTCTAAGTATGCCCTTGATGAAACGTTTCAAAAATGTTCATGTAGTTATCCGTGACATTTGGGGGTTCGATCAGACACAGGATGGGAGGGTTGTAGCTACCCTTGCGTTGTAGATGCTGCTAAAATTGCGATGGATGATTAATTCAGACACCGGACGTCCTAGTTCCTAGTTTGGACTCAATAGGATGTTTTAAAGATGTCCATGAATTTACGTTATTTTGACTTTTATAACGGGACAATGCAATAACGTCATCAAATAATGAAAATATTCGCCCTTGATGAAACTGTTAAAAAATGTTCATGTAATGATGAATTTTTTATATATTTGGATATATTTTCTCTCACATGCCTCTGTATATGTTATGTTTTTAAGGACCTACTTGAAATGGGAGAATCTCACCATATCTTGGTTGTCAACCATTTTTCAACAGATATGCTTCATCGGGAGCTTCTTGTTTGAATTTAATAAGTTTCAGATACTTATTGATTCCGATATTATCTTTAACATTCAAGCATGTATACGTACCATGGAATTTATAGACCAATGAGTTGATGACTCCAAAGTCTTTGATTTTTTACCAAAATAAGCCAGTAAAACGTTTTCTGAATACATATAGTCAGAGTCACCATCTCGGAGTGGCACCAATTTATGAATGTATCATATTGTAATTCATATTTCTTTCTTGATTTCTCCGGTATAAGAGATTCAAACTCTTGCGCTTTCTGCTTTGATAATTCACTGTCACTATTTTCCATCATGAAAGAATTGGGGGTTTTCAAGAAAAGCTAAGTATAGGTTACAGAGATGTGCGAGCGTTTTTTCAATATTTTCGCTCACGAGCGCAAATGCTGTCAAAGAATGACATTTCTGGAAAACGTCAACTTTGTGCTGGAATTTGAAAGCGTCAAAGGCTACTTTGTTAAGCGTTTGTAGAAAAAAAATATTTCTCACAGTCTGAGCGATACATGGTTTTGAAACTAAGTAAGCTATGAGAAATGCGCTACTTTTCAGAGCAGTAGTAAAAAAAAAACTTTTTATCGAATAAAAATAATCATGTTCTGATTCAATGAGTTCTTTCTCTCTTTTTTTCTTCTCTCTCTCTCTCTCTTTACGATCTCTTTGATGAGCATCTCATGTTCCCTGTTGAAAAGCTTCACTTTTGGCAACCCATCCTAATTAAACCGAAACTCTTTGCGATAACGCATTGCAGCAGATTTTTTTTAGATTGTTTTGTCAAGCCAATGGGGTTCGACATGCTATAACGGCGTTTGATTGGTACCAAATTAAATTCGATTTTAAATTAGATACGCTATATAAAACCACAGGGGAGATCGGATTTGTCTCACTTGGTTTCACTCGTGCGGTCGTCGTTTCAGCTGGTGAACTTAACGGGGTGAAAAAGAAATGGTAAGTTCTCAACTTTTTTGATTATTGTGGAATTTTAACACCAAACATTTTCGATCAATCCGGAGCCTGTATTTCGTATCGTTACCATAGCAACTGAACAATTTTCACTTATAATATCACGAGAGCTTCAATTCCCGTATATTAATTGAAGCTAAAGTGGTATTCGGTATGAAAATTTCGCACTGAAATATTATTAAAAAATAACTTGGATGATGACGATTTTTGATGCTTCTGACATTTGAATAGTAGGCTTTGTATGTAACTCAAAAGAATAATATATTTTTCCTCCGATTGGCAGCAAATATAAATTTTGCTGACACATATCAATCAGCAAAGTATTACTTTTCCTGCCTAGGCAGCAAAGTGGGTACTTTGCTGATTGATATGTATCAGCGAAATTAAAAATCCATAAATCGTTTATAATTTCCTTCATATTTCATCCGAGACTTCTCCGGCAACAAATTCAACTCTATATTTTTTGCCACCTCCCTTATTTCTGGAGGTGTAAGTACTTTCAAGTCGCTATCACTGTCCATTATATCATAATTTAAATATACCGATATTTTTTCGCACAACAGTCAGAAATTTCATGAATTATTGTCAAACCAACAACTGCGATTTCTATCAAATTTTATTTTATTTGAACACTATACAGGAAGAATAAAGAGATTGTGGGAATTGTATTAATTCGCAAATACAATATTCTCCCATATCATTATGAACAATCGGAGAAAAAATTTATGTTCAACTCGGCAGCAAAGTAGATTGACTGCCTTAGCTGGATTCCTAGCCTCGCTACGCTCGGCTATGAATTCAGCCACGGCAGTCAATCTACTACTTTGCTGCCTAGTTAAACAAATAACTATTTTTTATTTACGTATGTCATTCTTCATGTCAAAACTGAAGAGTAGGATTAATAACATAGTGTTTATATGAAAATGTATTAGTATTATTGATAAAATGCACATTCATAACATTGTTAGGTTAAATAGAACTCAATTAACCTACTTTAGTTACACAAAATAATGATAAACGAATCGATAGTAGTTGACTTTTGAAATTTTTCACAAATTCAGTTCACTAAACTTGGTAGAAATATATTTTCCTGCAAGGAACCCAAAGTACTATTCAGTATACAGTGTGTCCCACTTACCATGCTCACCATGGGTATCTTTTTAACGGTGAGAGATACGAGGTCGGTTAAATGATACCAAATGTGGAGTTTGTCATGGCCAACTATAATGTGAAAAAATATTTCGATAAAATGTATTCGTTTTTGTTTTATACGCAAAAAACAGATTTTGATCATTTTCATGTCTCCTCCGTAACTTTTTCATTTATGAAAATATTCAAATAGGAATTTCACATTCTCATGGCAGTTTTCCAAAGTGATTTCGAGAAAAATATGAAATCTATACCAACTTTTCTAGAATTTGAGATATCAGCACCAACTTTAGTTTTTTTAATGTAGGTCATAGCTCACTATGACTTAGTTACAAATAAATTTTTATTCTCTCACAATGATATGTCGCAGTGATAGTTTTGTGTTGATAACAACGCAGTTATCGTCATTTATACAAAAACAATAAATTATTTGGAAGCCGCCATCTTGAATTTATGAATTTTAACAAAAAAATCATGATCTCCGACCTCAAAAACCCCCACTTACCAATTTTTTCCAATTTCAAGAAAAATTCCATTGTGTATTGTCACCGAAATTATGAACACCTGCCAAATCTCAACTCAATCGGAGTTATGGAATTTTTGTTGAAATTAAAAAAAATGGCTGCTCCAAGATGGCGGACAAGATTTGGTCCGATTCCATTCAAAATTGGTAAGTGGGGGTTTTTGGGGTCGGAGATCATGATTTTCTTGTTAAAATTCATAAATTCAAGATGGCGGCTTCCAAATAATTTATTGTTTTTGTATAAATGACGATAACTACGTTGTTATCAACACAAAACTATCACATCACTGCGACATATCATCTGTAAGAGAATAAAAAGTTATTTGTAACTGAGTCATAGTGAGCTATGACCTACGTTCGGAAAACTAAAGTTGGTGCTGATATCTCAAATTCTAGAAGAGTTGGTATAAATTTCATATCTTTTTCGAAATCACTTTTAAAAACTGCCATGAGAATGTGAAATTCCTATTTGGAGGTATTCATAAATAAAGAAGTTACGGAGGAGACATGAAAATTATCAAAATCTGTTTTTTGCGTATAAAACAAAAACGAATGGATTTTATCAAAATATTTTTTCACATTATAGTTGGCCTTGACAAACTCCACATTTGGTGTCATTTAACCGACCTCGTATCTCTCACCGTTAAAAAGATACCCATGGTGAGCATGGTAAGTGGGACACACTGTATAATATTATGTAGGTATACTTGCAAATTCGAAAATTACAAAAACACATGTTGTTACTATACGTTAGTTCTTACATTTCATCACAAACAACCATCAACATGTGAATTTTCTTACCGAATACCACTTTAGCTTCAATTAATATCCGGGAATTTTTTCTCGAACACGAATATCGTGATATTATAAGTGACAATTCCACTTCTACTCCTGATCACAGCTTCAGAAAACTCCTATTGCGTATACCAAAATGTCTTACAAATAAAATTTCCCTAACATATCTGCAAGAAGAAGTTATGTACAATGACCAAATCCACGGATACAATACAAGATTCAGAACTGACTTCCATATTCAACAAGTAACATTAACACATACCCAAAATTCAGTTTTTTTCAAGGGACTTGATAGCTATAATAATCTGTCAGATCAAGGCACAGTTAAAATCATATTTTCTTCATCAATGAAATACCTAGCGGCCACTTCCTCATTTTGTTTGTTTCGATTTAGTATAAAGTATGATAGGTTTACAAATGTTTTAGTATGTGTAGTGTTTTTTGTGTATTCATTAAATATGTATTAGAATGTGTAAGGACGTAAAGATGTATAGTGTGCAAATGAGTATAGTAGTTTATGTATTGTATATAGGTATGTAAATATGTTTACACATATAACATTCTCATTGTAATTATTGCAATGACGTGACAATGTTAATTAGCCAAATGGACTAAATAAAGGATTTATATACAAATACTCAATTGGATTTGAATCTGGACTGCGCGGAAGCTTTTCTAGCTAATCAAAATTTTCTTATGCAGAAACTGGGATCTGATGACGATCACAACGTGATGAGCTAAAAAATTGCATATTATTCAAGAAACAACTTCATTTGTTTTTCAGTCAATTTGAATCGAAGTACAGAAAAATAATTGTTTTTCAGTCAATTTGAATCGAAGTACAGAAAAATAACAACGCTTTGGCTTGTGCATATTTTGCAACCTTTTATTATATGTAGGTACTAAAAAATCAACAACTATTCTAACAATACTCGAGTGAATCATGTTGTGTTCTCATGAATTTTGTGGAAATTTTGATAACTTCTGTTCGGTTGCTACATTATATCATTGCTATATCATAATTATATAGATTCTCCGATATTTTCATCAATAAAAATCCTCATTTTATTTGACATTTTGGTTTTTTCAGGCGGACTTGAAGCCGAGAGATCTGGAATGTGAGTTACGCAAACACAAAGTACTCATTAGAAAATAATTGCAATCACTTTGAACTATTTCAGGCGCAGAATTTTGTATCGAAGTATTTGGCAACAGCGCCAAAGAACTTGACGCGATGTATTTGGGAAAATTTATGTACAACATGAATGTGAATCCCAGTCAAGAAAGACTAATCCAACTCGGAATGACCAAAAAGGAAGGTAAGCTATACGGGGTGTTTTAAATTGGTATTTTGTAAACTATAGAAGATAGAAAGATGGTTGAATCGAAGCAAAGGACCCCTCAATTTTTTAAGGTAAATTTGGTCCCGGTGGCAATTTTTGGCATGATGTAGTTCATGTGATTCTACAAAATATTTTTACTGAGCCAACCCCCAAAAATGGACAGTTTTTTTGCTAGGAGGGTTTGCATTCACATTTTGACCATTTATTTCTGAGAAAATGAACGATATTCCAAAACTTTTAATTTCATTTGATCACTTCTAGAAATAGATTCTTCATAAAGAAAATATAATGGGGAGAATTGTTACCCTCAACCCCTATTTTGAAAACCGAAAAAAAAAAAAAAATCCATCGAACTGTCGAAAGTGATAGGAAATGTTTCATCACGGATAATTATGGCATCCGCATTTCTGTATTATAACCCCCTACCAAATGGGGGGTGCAAATGGAAAACAATTCGGTGGATTTCGCTGAATTCTTGATATGATGTCGTCCATATGATTCTGATCAGAAAATCATTGGGTGACAATCCTAAAAAATTGACAGTTTTTATGCTATAGGGGGTTTCAATCTCGGTTTCAATTCACCTTTTGAAAAAATAGACTACCATTTGATTCTGAATAGAAAGACAAATTTTCTCAATATTGTATTCCTATTCATCAATGATTTTTCTTTCGGAAATATTGGGGGGTTTTCACCCCCAACCAGCTTGAAAAAAATCCGTGCCACTGTATAAGAAGCATAAGAAAATGTTCAATGACAAGAAATTATATGGAAAATGCTCTCTTGCATGATTGCCCTCAAAAAATGGGAGGGGGAGGGGAATCCACATTTCGATCAAAATACACTCAATACCAATAAAAGTGACGCACTTGATATTTGACCTATCTTTTCAAAAAAAAAAACAAATAATAGTAGGCCGATTTTTATTTTTTTTCATTTGTTGATAGGTAATGCATTTGTCTTTAGAAAAAATAATGAAGAGGTAGAAATTTTTTCAAGGCCTCCTTGATGGTGGTGGAATAACTCGAACCATGATTTATTCTTAATTTTTGACTCACCCTGTGTATTAATTGAGTAATGGCATAGAAAGTGCTTACACCCTATACGAAAGAGGCTTCTTTTGCGAGCATTTTGTTTTTTTTATTCATTGATTTATCTCTAAAATTTTCCGAATTACATCTTTTGGTTGCAGAATCCTTGCAGATTACCAACTTTCTGAATTTATCGAGAAACAATTTCCTAATGAAATAAACTGATACCAATAATTTTGAAGAACATTTTTATTTAACACAAAATTATAAATTGGGATGACTGCTTAATACCGTGTATTGCCTCCTCTAGCAACTCTAAGAACTTCTAATCCACGAGGCATACTGGAAATTAAGTTGCTTATCGTTTCCATTGGTATACGATCCCATTCTTCCACTAATGCATCTGCCATTTCTGCGAGACTTTCCGGAGACCTCTCGCGAGAACGTACCCTTCTCTCTAATTCATCCCACAAATGTTCTATAGGATTCATATCGGGGCTTCTCGCAGGCCATTGTAATGTGGTAATACCAGTAGATTCTAAGAAGTTTCGCACTTTTGCTGCGGTGTGTGGTCGGGCATTATCCTGCATCAATATAAAATTATTGCCCATTACCTCTGCATAAGGTAAGACATACTGCTCTAAAATGTCAATGTAAATTTGGGCATTCATCGACTGCCTTACCGGAAAAACATGAAGAGGTGTCTTTCCATTCATTGAAATCCCTCCCCACACCATAACGGACCCACCATTAAAACTTTCGCATTCTGTTATTAAATTTTGATCAAACCGACACATGTTTTTGAAAATACCATTGCGATTTTTGGGTGATCGAAATGTAACTTATTTTGTATATCAGAATAAGAATAATTTTGTGTCTCATTTGAACAGGTGAGAAAACTTTCAAGTTCGACGAACTCCTACCTATGGTTTCTGATTTGAAGAAAGAAATCAAAGATCAAGGCTGCTATGAAGATTTCGTGGAATGTCTCAAGCTTTACGACAAAAATGAAAACGGTCTGATGCAATCGGGAGAATTGAGTCATTGTTTGCTAACATTAGGTATGTATTATCACCATAAAAACCACAAAAAAATCTGAACCAATAGTTCACGTAGTTTTTGGTCATAGGTCAGTTGAATATCATGCTACATCTGGGGTACCTCAAGGGTCAAATCTTGGTCCTCTGCTATTCAACATATCCATCAATGACATTTTGGATGGTATTAATGTTAATGGTTTGATGTATGCTGACGATATGAAAATATTCCACTGAATTTCAGATACTGCTGATTGTCATTTATTACAAGATAATTTAGATAAAATCAATGAATGGTATAATTGTAATGAGCTATTTCTTAATCCCGGGAAATGTTGGATAATGTCCTTTGCTTGATAATCTCAGATTGAGTTCAGTTCATTGATATTATACAATGTTTTTTTTTTCAGGAGAAAAACTCACAGACGATGAAGTAGACGTACTTTTGGAGGAATGTTTAGATGAAGAAGATGATGATGGTCAAGTTCCTTATATTCGTAAGTTTAGAACCAAATGAGTTCGTTATAGAAACGTGCAAAAACGTAACAAGAATCCAAAAAGCCTTTTGGTTGATACTGTCAAGTTTCTCGGTTGTTATAAAAGATAGAGACTTGAGGTTTTCACGTTCCTTTCTTTATTTTTTTGTGAAACTCTGGCCTGATCAGATTGTGCTTGATTGTTCCCGTTTATGAGATACAGATACAATTTAGAAAATTAATTGAAAAGGAATATTCTCAGATACATAATTATACCGGGTGACACAGGACACATGCAACAGCCTGTAGTTTTTTCAGTTGGAGAAATACAAATTTGAAATTCACAAGGTTTATTTCATCGATAATGAACAATTTTTTTTTTCATATGGCACTCTGTATATTTCTGTAGCCTATCTTATTCGCCTTGGCATTCTTTATTCAACTATGTATCACAATTTGATATTCGTCCATTAATTGGCTGTCAAATTGCATTTTATTGAGATACATGAAGTTGGCTCCCAGTGAGCACAAAAACATCTCAGAGATGTTAAAAGTACGAGATTTCGAGACATTGAACCTCCACTGCGATGTTCTGTTCACACATGAATAGAACTATTATAGAACAGCCAATGTCCGCCGCAGGCGGCAATTATCGAGATGTCCTTGATATGTCACAAAACTACCTTCTCCCTAGTTCTTTTTAAAGCCTTTTCATGGACACAACAGAACATTTTCAACGCGTCTCGCGCACATTAAATCGCTGTAAAAAAACCATTTTCGAGGTACTTTTCTGAAGCCTTTTGTCAAAATGAACTTTTGCATTAGGATTCCATTTCCCTTGAATGAAAAAATGCATTGAAAATAGATTGAACATAAAAATATTTTCTTGATATGAAATTACCTTCTTAATCGGTTTCTGAGTAGTGCTTACTACACACAGACATATAATTGGAGATAGGTTTCCCAATTTTTTGGAATGTTCTCCACAATGCATAATTTTGCAACTGCGGAGAAGCTGTGTATTGATGAATTCGTACTTTTCTATAAATATTGATTACACTGAGGCACCGAACAACACATCTTGCATCTGATGGTCATTATTACAAACTAAATAAGTCTTCTAACACAATAAACTTCACCAAATTCCTTTCTGTTCGTTAGCAGCGTGATGTAAGCGTGACACGCTGCAAACGCGAATGCCAATTGCGTACAAGAAGAACAAAATCGAAAACAAATCAGAATTCATCGTATTGTGACGTAAGCATGAGACGTTGTGGTGGGGCAAACAAAGAAAGGGCACAAAAGAACAAAAACAATACTTTCAATATCCTTCTAAGACCTCTTTGGGAAGTGCATATTACGCCTCAAAAAAACATCCTCATGCCTACATTTCTAAAACATCCCAGGGATACCTCTCAGTAGGCGAACAAAGAAATGCCACAGAAGAACAAAAACAATACTTTAATATCCTTCAAAGACCTCTTTGGTCAGTGCATATTACGTCTCAAAATAACATCTTCATGCCAACATTTTCAAAAAACATCCCAAAACATCCCAGGGATGTTTGTGCTCGCTGGGCTGTGGGCCGAATACAATGACGTTTCGATGCTTGATAGGCTTAGAAATCCAAAGATCATCACTTAGACGATATTATCAGAATATTTCCATACCCTAATCGGTCCCAGATGATTGCCAATATTTTATGAGCTTAAAAAAATCATCCGAAAATATCTCACGATTAGGACGATACATCAATAATTATTACAACAATTTCAGTTTCATGTATCCAAATGGATGATCATATTGTGGCTACATGGCGAAAATGAAAGACAAATACTTTCATCACGAGTAGCTGAATGAAAAAAACTAAGTTTCGATCTTAGTTTTCTCAATATCGAGATTCATTTTCGGATGATTTTCTTAAACTCAATGAAATTATTGGCAATCTTCTGGGACCGATTAGGGTATGGAAAATAATGATAATATCGTCTAAGTGATGATCTTGGATTTCTGAGCCTATCAACCATCGAAATGTTATTGTATATGTATTTCAATTGAAATGCAATATAACAGCCAATTGATAAACGAACATCAAATTGTGATACATAGTTGAATAGAAAATTTCAAGGCGGATAAGATAGACTACAGAAATATACGGGGTGCTGTTGAGTCCACTTCAAATCAAACAGGTGGTTGAAAAAAATTGTTATTGGGTTCAAAGGAAGCGCCATTATCAATAATATAACCTTTGTGAATTTCAAATTTTTATCTCTTCAAATAAAAAAACTACAAGCTGTTACATGTCTCCTATATACCTTCCAAACATTATATGCATTTCGTATTTCATTTATTGAGTATTCAATCCATGTCTATAAGTCGATTCTCTCAGTTATTATCTTATTTTTTCTTATAGCTTTCCTTAAAAGGATGTGTGAAATGGAGCCCCCATTGAAACCATCGAAGAAGAAACTGTGATGCTTCCTAATATTATTTATTACCATTATCATTAACAACGCTCTGCTTGTGAATATGCTTCTGCTAAAAAAGTTTTACTGCCATTAATACCCTAGTTTCATTTTTGCTTCCTTTCTCTGTGATCCACTATACATACAGAGAAGTGCACAAAAAACGGCTAGGACTGTAACTTTTGAATTATCCGAGATAGGGTTTTGAAAATTGGTGTGCAGCTAGTATACCTAAGTGGTCATTAATTGACGATACAATTTTTGTTCTTTCACGTCCAGTATCACTGGAAACGACCCCAACTTTTGATTTTCAAATTGGACACCCTGTATTGTATTTCATAATCGGTTAGGGATTGTCATAACGAATTCATCGGTACCAGGTTTGATAGGGTTATTTCAAACGATTACGCAGATATTCACGTTCTAAGATTCCATATGCTCAATGAGTGTGACAGAGAAAGAAGTTTTGATATCGCGAAGTCACACTCACACCCATTGAGCATATGGAAACTTCGAACGCAAATATCTTCGTAATCGTTTGAAATAACCCTATCGAACCCGGTATCGTTGAATTCGTCATGATAATCCCTAACCGATTATGGAATTCAATACAGGGTGTCCCATTGAATAATCAAAAGTTATGGCCGTTTCCGGTGAAACTGACTGTGATAGAAGAATAATTGTTTCATCAATCAATGAGCAATTTGGTATTCTTGCTACCCACCAATTTTCAAAACCCTTTCTCGAACAGTTCAAAAGTTACAGTCCTGGCTGTATTTTGTGCACTTCTCTGTGTTACTGTTGGTAATTCTTGCATTCTTGTTTGGTGGTTATTAATTCATATAAATGCGAATTTCTGACCCACTAGGTATAAAAGTTCGTCAACATTGTTATGAGGTCACTCATTTTGTGTTCCTTGTGAGTTGAAACGATTTTCCTGTAGAACGGTTTGGATAATCGATATTAAACAAGGGCATGGAGTGATTCAAATTCTACAAATATTCACCAAACGTTTTGGACTAATAAGTGAAGTGGGCTAGTCCGTCCCTGCTCTTCTTGAAAGATGTTATCAATATTAGCAAATCAATTTCAAACATACTCCACTTAGTTCATGTTTGATGATCAAATTTGTCAATTAAGTCCCAATTCAGATTTGTTCACGTTTAAGGTTTTGGCCGTATACTTATGGGACACCCTGTATATCTTCAACACTAACTTCATCAAAGGAAGGAAGTAATGCTCGGAGTCATTTTCACAAAATTTGGTGATGTTGTTGACACGTTTCGGTCTTAATCAAGATTATCTTCAGCTGCTAATTGAAAGTTCTACAATACTAAGAGGTTGTTGTGAAAAGGATTACATTAAAAAGGAACATTCTCAGATATATTTATGAACACAAAAAATGGATATATACAGGGTGTTTCATAATTGAATGTCAATATTTGGGGACGCAATTCTTGGGCCCATTCTAAGAAGAAAGTTTCATATGAACGTATGACCTAAACATCCTAACTTTTGAGATACAGGGTGGTGAAGTTCTCAAAAATTAATAGTTTTTTATTAATATCTGTAATACCACTTCAGATATTCTGATGAAATTTGGCATACATGTACTATGTATCAAGAGGCATCAGTTAGCGTACCACATTTTTTGTTGTTGCCACCAGTGGCGTTCGTATGGAATTTCACATACCTATTTTGGCAGACATTGATGGTACGCCACTGATTAATCTCCAAATTGAAATCATTCCTGAAATTCCCGATCATTTCTAAGCAAATTTGATCACTACAATTTTTTCAATCTGATGCACGGTTTTCGCTTAAAAATAAAAAGCTTTTCACTACATGATTATAGTAATATTGTTAATATGATAATATCACAATGCAGAGAAATAGTTTTTATTTTTAAGATCAAATTTCAGAAATACAATTCATAGTTCATGAACTTTGTATTCGTATTTGGTATTTTCGAATTATAACTTCTCATTGTAGTAGGCTATATTAATTTTCGAGAATTTTACCACCCTGTATCTCCAAAGTTGGGACGTTTAGGTCATACGTTCATATGAAACTTTCTTCTTAGAATGAGCCCAAGAATCGCCTCCTCGAATATTGACATTCAATTATGAAACACCCTGTATATATTAAGGAATACATTGAGAATTCGCAATCTCCATGTGATGAAAATATCAATTCTTTCACGGTTTATTCAACAGAAAACAACTACTTTCCTGGCTATATGCCACGACGAATATTGAATTACATCTATTGAACATACACGATGAGAATTTGAAAACAAAATCTTCTGAAGTAGAGAATTTGCATTCTCCTTCATATGAAGATATGCATATAATATAATTCTGAATATTCAATAAAAAACAACTACTTTCCTGGCTATTTGCCACGTCGAACATTGAATTATATCTGTTGAATATCCGAAAAGAGAGCATGAAAGATCAAAATCCTCTGAAATTGAGAATTAACATCATCTCTCAAATCGAATAGAATAATATGATGTATGTTGTTGGTTGCCACCAGTGGTGTTGGTATGGAATTTCACATACCTATTTTGACAGGCATTGATGGTACGCCACTGATTAATCTCGAAATTGAAATCATTCCTGAAATTCCCAATCATTTCGAAGCAAAGATCACAATATTTTTTTCAATCTGATGCACGGTTTTCGCTTACAAAAATAAGAAGCTTTTCCCAACATGATTATAGCAATATCGTTAATATGACAATACCACAATGCAGAGAAATAGATTTTATTTTTCAGATCAAATTTCAGAGATACAATTCATAGTTTATGAACTTCGTATTCCTATTTGGTGTTTTGGAATTATAACTTTCCATTGTAGTAGGCTATATCAATTTTCGATAACTTTACCATCCTGTATCTCACAAGTTACGACGTTAAGGTTATACGTTCATAAAAATCTTTCTTCTTAGAAGGGGCTCGAGAATCGCCTCCTCGAATATTGACATTCAATCATTAAACACCCTGTACATAAAATTTTCACTTTTTTTTTTAAACTCGACTCTTCGACTATGGTCATCGCAAAAAAAGTTTTTTCTACAAGCGTGCGTGATTCACCCTATACCCGCACGCAATTTAGTTTGGGAAGTGTCATTTTCCCGCAACAGTACGGGAAAATTTTCCCACACTAGTGCGGGAAATTTTTTCCCGCACTAGTGCGGGAAAACAAAGATATGATATAATCGCTAGTAATATAAGTGGTTGGTGATGAAATATAAAAGTTTAAGATTGTTTGTTGCAGTATTAAGTATGTATGTTCAGAATCATCCATCAAATTGCACTATTTATTGTAAAAATTACGAAATATTGAGAAATAAAAATGGATTATTATAAAAATCCCCCTATAGATTTGGATTGATCTGACGGGAAACGTCAATTTGTCATGCCAATCAAACCTCAAATAAGTTTGAAATTGTCGAAGTGACAGACACAGCGTTACTGTCATTTTCGATTCAGTGGAAATGCCACAATGTGATCAAAAACGTCTAGCTATAGGGATTTGATACAGATGCGTTATCACCAACGAAGTCTTAAGAAAGGTATATGAGAAGCTATACACGCGTTTTATTGAATGGTGCCACAATAAAGAAATGAAAAAACCGAATGAAGAAGGTATTTTTGGCTCATTTCATAGAAGTGTCTGGAACCTAGAGACCAAACTCCTATAATGGGCCTGCTGGCTTCCGCAATGAACCAACATAATGCGTCAAACTGTAAGTTCACAATAGCTATTACTAATAATTAATAGATAGAGAATATCTATCTCTAGTCAGTTGTTTCTATTTGCTTGAATAATTAATTGAACGATTCAATCAATTTCCTACGCTTGTAGAAAAAATATTGTTCCTAACTCATGCGGAAAGTTTCTTTCCCGCACTCGACTGCTTGCCCGAACTCCGCTTCGCGTCGTTCGTGTCAACGGCAGTCATGTGCGGGAAAGAATCACTTTCCGCACTTGTTAGGAAAATTACTATTACTGGTTAGTAGCCTCATACTTTTTCAACTCCAAAGTAAGTCCCGCAATAATGAATATACCACCTCCTTCCTTCAAGAATGTCCACTCCACTTTGACTTCAAAGATTACTATCAACTGAATTACTGGTAATTTTCTTTATTAACATATTGAAATCTAGATTCCATTATTTTTTTTATTCATGACAATAAAATATAGATATAATATCAATCGAATGTTTCAATAATATATTTTTACATAACATAATAAAATAATTTGAAAATAAATACATTGTATTCCAGTATTTTCAAAAACTGATGGTGATAATGGCAGTGCCAAAAAACTTTGATTGAAGGTTTTCGTCGACTTCTGGTTGACCTGTCTTGGTGTTGATAAAGCCAACTTTTTCAGCAGCACATCTTCAGGTGACTATAAAAAAAGTAGTAATAATAAAATACAGAGTGTCTCTGAAAGGTCTGTCCGAAACAATACACGAATTTCTGAAACTGACATTAAAATAATATAAAGGGTGTTTGTTTATAGTTTACTCAATATATCAGTTGATATTGGTCTTACAGGAACGCTCAAATGAGCAAAAATAAATTATTCGTTGAAATTTTACATAAACTGATAATTTTCGAATGGAACACTGTGTTTCATTTTCATTTTTAAAAAATATTTCATTTTTGCCCATTGGAACGTTTCTGTAAAACCAATATAAACTGAGATAAGTGAGATAGCTATTGAGAAAATGTAAACAATCACCCTGTCGATAATACCAAAAAATTACATAAGATCTAAATGTTAGCTAACAACAGAACATAACATTCTTTTGGTCACAGGAATTATTCGTGATAACATTTTTACAGACCTTCATATACACCCTGTATATTGAGACATGAGCGATATAAGCAATAAGCGTTGCAATAACGAATTTTTTTTTATCGCTTGGAGCACACGAAAGGGAATCCCTATAATGTTCAAAGAACATCGTGCGTTCCTAGGGAGGATAGGGACAGGAGGTAGGTATTGGAATATTTTTTGAACTTTTGGAGATTATATGTTGTTGGGAATACTTCCACAGGCAATGAATTCCAGAGCCTAGCCGTTCTATGGATGAAGGAGTCTTGATAAAGTGCTGTTCGACATCTTTCGAGGTTGACAACGAAAGGATGTGCTGACTGGGCTTGTCTAGTTCGTCTGATTGGTATTGCTAGTGAAGGGATGATAGCAGAGATTTCCGAAGAACATTTCCCGTGGAAGTATCGATAGAAAAGTGAAAGGTCGCCGACCTTTCTACGGTGTTCCAATGATGTCAAAGAGTGAGTGAGTGTGGCGTCACCCACCAGGCAGATGGCTCTTTTCTGGATGGAATCTAAGAGCATCAGCGTATGTTTTAGTGCTGAACCCCATATGTGGGAACAGTATTCTAGAACAGGCCGTATCTGAGCTTTGTAGATCATGAGAAGCTGTTGAGGTGTAAAGTAGCTTTTCGCACGGAACAAGAATCCGAGTTTTTGTGAAGCAGCTTTTGCGATGGATCTGACATGATTATCCCATGAAAGAGTGTTGCTGATGGAAATACCGAGCATAGATATGGTGGGCTTGGTGGAGATGGTGGTGCCAGACATTACAATGTCGGGCATACTGGGTTCCGCCTTTCTAGAGAAAATACAGGCTTGACTTTTGGTGGCGTTGAATTCAACTAGGTTGTTGGTTCCCCAGGCTGTGATTTCAGCAAGGTCTTCATTGACAGCATTGACCTGCCTGCGCCGTGAGTTCTTAGTTTCCTGGGAAGAGATGGGAATTCTGGATGAGAACGCAGTATGGAGGGTACTATCATCTGCAAAGCTGTGGATGGGGCAAATTGTTACTCCCAACAGATCATTGATATGAAGAAGGAATAATGTTGGTGCCAAAATTGATCCTTGTGGAACGCCGGAATTGATGCCAATGGTATCAGACGATACACCGTCCACCACCACATGAAGCAATCTGCCTGAAAGAAAACTCGATAAGAGATGGCATAGCTGAGGTGGTAGTTTGTGGAGGAGTCCTTCGTGCCAAACACGGTCGAATGCTTTCGATATGTCCAACGCGACAGCTAGAGATTCCCCGTGTTTTTCTAATGAAGCTTGCCATAAATGGGTGACGTAGTCAAGTAGATCTCCAGTAGATCTTCGGTGGCGAAAGCCGTATTGTCTATCATTGATATAATGAAAGTATATCGATGATATCATTTTCATATTTACTGACCATTTTCCTACATTTTGTGTCTGAAACGTTTTGTTCTCTATCAAAATAAAGCGGTGGGGGAAGTTCAATTATTATTTAGTTAGCTGCGTTGGGCATACAAAGCCGATCCAGTAAAAAATATACGAGGTGTTTCATTTCCTAAATGGTGGAAAAGGCAACAATTTGATATTGATTGATACCTGATGCTTAAGCCAGACTATGTTGTGCAAAAGCGAGATGCTTTCTGGTAAGGATGAAGCAGCGTGGCGAGCTATTCAAAAATAACTACTTACTCAAAAATAATAAAACTAAAATAACTGCTTACGCCATCATCTTTCTGAGGAATGCTAGAAATTCACAAGAAAATATTTCTCATTATCGAGAGCAAACAAATTGTAGTCGGCATTCGAGATGATCATTTTCCAATGTAGGTCAAAAAAGTACTTTTTTTATAAGTATGTGTCCGCAAACGCTTCGTTACTGATATACCGAGCGTTGATGTTAAAAGTTTTCTTTATTTTCCAACACCTTCCATAAAACCTCAAGTTTCGTTCGGTTTCTTATTCTTTAGGTTACGATTAGGAACTTGTAATCAAGATCACAAACTGGATTTGTAGTGTTTTTTTGTTTTAATTGTAATAATTGGTTCTTATAGAGCTCCTTTCAGTTGAAGCGATTAACAAAAAATGTTTTTTCTGCAACCGATACCAATATTAGCTCCTGAATTGACGGTACTAATATTGACGGTACTAATACTGACAGAAACACACTTTTAGTTCCTAGGAGCTAAAGTTGGACTTTCACTAGATGCTCCGACAAAGTGTCACTTTTGATCCTAATAAAACAATCTACTATTATTTCTTGATAACTGTCGCAGATGCGTCAAAACTACAGACGATAGAAAACTTCACAAATGAAACCAAGAGCTCATTTTCTATTTCCATATCTAACAGTGGTGGATCACAAGAAAAGGGCTTGACCCCTGAAAAATATCTTCCTGTAGGATCTTAAAATTACTCATTTCACGGGATATGATGTAAATAATAAAACGTGACCTCTTTTTCGAACTCAATCTGATTATCTTGAACGAAACGTTTGCGGACACAAGTTTATCGTCTTATTTTGATCTGAAATGTGAGCACCTAAAATCTTGATACTGAATTTTAATTCACCCTGTATAGGAAACTAGTCATTTTGATTTAGTATGAGTACATTAACAACCGAGAAGTGCAAACTTTGTAAAATTGTTCACCTGAATTTTAAATGAATTCATGCATGAAATACTGATCACAAGTTAGGAAATGGTACATTGTGCAAATTCTACAATGTACCTACTTCAATTCACTTCAGCAGAGATTATACAGGGGGTGTATAATCTTAGACTTTAGGAATGACAGCAAAATAAACTTACGTTCAATAGGGATGAATCCATCATCGTCTTCTTTATCCATGCAATCGGCTAATACTTCTTCTGTTTCTGCGTCTTCTAACCTTTCACCTGCATGGAAAAAAAAACAACATCATGACTCAATTGTGACTGCATGAAGGTGTGATATCGTGGGTCATCTCACGTAATGATGTATCTCATAAAAATCGGAATCTGAGATACTTCGTCAAGTGATTTATATTCTTGTACTTCATGATCTCACAAAGTGGCGTAACTCAATATTCAATGGTTTTCGTGCAATTGAAAATCTAATACCCTGCCTATCTCAAATTATTGGACTACCGAATCTCACGAAGTGACCTAACTATAGGAGTTACGTCAGTACGTGAGATATATTTTCATTATGTGTTGAAAATGTCGAAAGTGACGTGTCTCACATAGGGTTTGTCGCGGAAATCAAAATATCTTGGGTGACGTATATCAAGGTACTGAAAGGAAGATTGTACAAGTGTAATGAATTTCTGTGTTTTCATCAATAAAAATAAATATTCAGATCTGTTATTCATTTGAATTCACTCGATATCCATAGGTGTATCTGAGGCTCCATTAACAAACATGATCTCACGTAGTGACGTATCTCATAACTTTTTTTTTTTCGTTTTTGGGGATGCTTTTTTGAAATCTCACCATATCATGACAACTAGTTCCAGTTCATCCACTGATAAATAAAAAAATAATGATCTTTCATGAACAACCCTCTGAAATATGAGCTAATTAAGATGTTGAAAATCTTTGAACTGCTCTGCTGTGAAATTAGGAAAACTGAGATACGTCACTACGTGAGATGACCGTCGATATGAGAGAGCTGGTGAATTTTAGTGAAAGATAAATATAGGGTGAGGACTCTAACTGGAACCAATTCGCTACTGGGGTATGCAGGGACATATGATGATTGACTAATGATTCATGACTCACCAAGTGATAGAAGTGTGTGTGACAGCTCAGCTGCCATCATTTTACCATTGTCTTCTTTGTCGTATAGTTTTAGGCATTCTAGGAAGTCATCGAATGTACCTTGTTCTTTGTCTTTTTTGACTTGGCTGTAGATGGGGAGGAATTCTTCGACTTTCATTTTCTTCTCATCTGCAATAAAAAATCAATTCAAAATACAGATAATATTGATAAGATAGAATAAAAATATTAATAATAATGACAATAATAATTAATCGTCTTTATTCACGATTTGCAGAAAACAAATTGCACAAAAAAATCAAACAAAGATATTTGGCTAAACCTGTCTGCAATGGTGAATAGGCAGAGTATCAACAAAAAGCAGTTTTTCAACTAAACCCCAGGAATAAAATGAGAAGAACAAGTGAGGTACGTAGTTTTTGAAAGGTATCAGATTAGTATAGATGTAGTTTTCTTTTGTTTTTTGTTTCGTTTTCTATTGGCAAGTGATTATCTAGGAACTTGTATATTTTTTAGTTTTTTCATCGTATCTCCCGAACTATTGAATTCAGAGGAAAATGTTATGAGGATTTTTTTGTAGATTCTATCAAAAGGAATAATTTTGGTTCCATAACATTTTCACAGATATTTCCAGTTGTTTTCGAGATATTTGGAATCATCTGAGAATAAAATTTTCAACACTTTTGTTCCATCTGCCAATCAACAAATGGAAAAAATATTTCATGGTTCCGTGGAAGTCGATGATCTTCATCTATCGATAATCTTTTGTTTTTCAATATATCTTCATGGTACCCTATGGGTCGTTCAAATTTTTTTTTTATATTTTTTACTTTATTTCCTGTACTATTGGGTTTACAGAAAAAAATTCGGGAAATAATTTGTAGGAAATGTTCCAGTGGATAACTTTGCACTTCTGATAATTTTCGATTTTTCCATTTGTTTTCGATATATATTGAATTGAAAGGATTTCAAATTTTGATGTTTTGATTTTCATTTGTTTTTCCATTTTCCGATGGATGCACGAAAAAATGGTGAAATAATAATTTGTTGCGTCATCAAAGAGGCATACGGTGCATTTTGCAAATTTGGCTTTAGTCTATTGGTTCAGGAGATATGTCGTTTTAAAGCGAACCGTGTGTTTCGGAAAATCTCCTTGAAAAACCCACTTGGAATTTCCCGACCCTGCTCAATTTCAATAGGCTTCGTCTCTTCCTGATAGAGTTATTTTTCACAGAAAATGAAATCGATCGGACCACTTTTGCGATTTGTAGAGTGGTCGCAAGAAACTTTCGGTGAAAAATCGAAAAAACCCGGAAAAACCACCTTGGAGTTTTCCGATTTCCTTCATATTTCAATGACATAATATTGTTTTGAGTACAATAAGATGGCAAAATTTCAAGTCGATATGTCAAAGGGTTCCGGAGATATATCGATGTATGATTACCACAGAGTACAGACAGACAGACAGACCACAAACAAAAACCAAAGTTGCTCAAAATTCGATGGGGATCATTTTCTCCAAAGTAAATACCTCTATCTCGCTTAGTTTCCGAGATAGCATTTTTGGCAAGGCCGTAGTATACTCCACTATGTATAGCGTCGTATAACAAGTGAAAATGTCCAGTTTTTTTTTTTAAATGACGAAATCGAATTGAAGAACTAAGGACAGTTTGATTTGTTTCATTATATCTACTCTGCTTTGTGTTCTACCAATGATAATAGATGATTGCTGTGTTGCCAATAGCTATGAAAATTAAGTACTCACTCTTCTTTTTTGTTCCACCGACTTTCTCAATGGTGACCAATGTTGGGTTGAGGTTGAGGGCTCTGAGCATGTCACCCAAGTTGACAGCATCCACTGTGCCATTTCCTTCAAAATCGTAGATGGAAAAAACGAAGTTGGCCCCTAAAAACAAAGACAAAAACAGTGAAAAACTACTCAACTTTTAGAAAATTTCAGTTACAATGTATGGTATGATTCATATTCACACTTCAAATGGGGAAGTTTCCTCTATTGACATTTTTATCTCACTGTGAAGTTTGTAAAAAACTAATACTGGGTGACCAATTATATTCTGACCTATTTCAACTGCTCATATCTCCGAAACTATTCAAATTATCGTTGTGCGGTTTGGACTTCGCTATTTTGATATTCTTCAAGTTTTTTAACTGGTTCACCTTCTCACCTGAACTTCCGGTTCTACCGGAAACAAACAAGCCATTATTCAGGTATCGGGCAACTTTGATAACATATTGCATAATCTCATTAAACCATTCCACAAGCAGTAGTTGTTTCAAAGAGTCATAACTCTAATAGTTTTCTAGGAGAACATAACTTGTAATACATTGTTAGATAGAGAAAAGACCAGTCTTTCTGAATGTGCAAAAATATACAGGGTGATTCAATGAAACAAAAAAGTTGCCCTATACCTAGATTATTGCTTGTTTGTTTCCGGTATAACCGGAAGTTCAAGTGAGGAGATGAACACGTAAAAAAAACTTGAAAAACATCAAAATAGACTAGTCCAAACCGCACAACGATAACTTGAATGGTTTCCGTGGCATGAGCATTTGAAATAGGTCAGAATATAATTGGGCACCCGGTATATACGTATTTTTCGTGCACGTGAATGATTCCTTAGATTGTTGTCATTGACGCAACTTTTTAGTGATTTCGATATGAAAATATGACATAAACGTCATTTCTACTCAATATTGGTACCTACTCTTATTTAAACACGATATTATCATTCCTTTTCGAAAAAAACGCAATTGAATTGTTAAAAGTCCCGGAAGAGTGTGCTTTAGGCGCGCGTTTTTTGTGAAATAAATTTCGATTGATACGCCCTGTTTGTTTTTCCACAGCAATATTTTATTGAGATATATTTGATCCTATCTCTATATTCTGGTCCAAACATGACTCACCCTGTATATAGGCTAGCACCTCGGCTAACACATATTTCTAAGAAGTAATTTCATTATATGAGCATGCTTTCATGTTTTCTATTTTGGAAACTGATGAAAAGCTATTACTGAGTATTTTGTTATTTTGGTATCGAAATGAGCTATAAGATATTGGGTGAATGGGAATTATTTTAAGTCAAAATGATCTCTATCCAATGAGTGAATCAGAAGATATAAAATTAAATTTCATGATCGTATAACCATCATTAAAATATACACAACTTCGTTAATTCAGTTAAGAACAACGTCAAAAACAAAAGAAGAAACTACAAAATATGATTTATGATTTTGATCGATTTAAAGTATATTTTGGAATATACAAGGTGTTTTTGAAATAAGGGCACATTAATACATTCTAAGAAATATTCCCATGATATCAAATTTTTCCAATTCGTCTAATTAACGAGAAATTTCATCCCAAAAATTGAACAAAATGAGAAAAAATCAAGTACGCCACTGTAAAACAATTTAAATGATTGAACTCTGCGTGATTGTGCCTACAGCATGGCAATTTGAACAGAAGTGACGTCAGACTTGCTACAGTGTGGAACGTTGGGTGGAAAAAGAGGTCTAACCCCAAATTTCATTTTGATCCCAGAATATTTTTCATTAGTGCCATTCGATAGTACACGTCGAGCTTTCTCAGTGAAATATTTCCACTTATTTCAATGCCACCCTGTATAAGAAATTTCGATAAAATTTATTTCAGTTAGTAATTTTGTTTTTGATCTTCGATCATATAATAGCATTGAATTCACCATGTTGTTCAATAGGTTCTCAGGATATGGCGAATTGCAATAATTTTTTCAAAAAGGCTAATTCATTGACACAGTCCATTGTCATAGTTTCAAAACGAAGTAGGTCACTATTACAAAATAATAATGGTAACGCCGCCTATTCTAAAAATATCAAACATTTATTTCAGTTCCAAAATTAGAACCCGGTGAAGCAAGCCTTATAAGATCCCAGTTTAATTTTAGCTGGATTACGTATCACAAAAATATTCCTCTACCGGAAAATAACGATATTATTAGAATAAAACCCTGTTTTCACTTACTTTCGACGTCCCTGGCACTAAGATCAGCCTAAAAAAAATCAGAAATGTCATGAGAAATTCTTAGTGGATTATGAATTCATTCGATAGAAATTGGAACATGTTTCAAAATTGTGTCTCGTTTCTTGAGAATGTTTTTTCAAACCGAGCGACCAAAACCAAATTGATGTGTTATTTTTTTCCTGATATTTTCCATTTTCTATCGAATTGGATTGACAGGAGTGCGAGACAATTACATAACACTACGAAAATACTGTGAAAGATTGTTAAATAAAGATAGACGTCACTGGATTAAGACAGAAGAAGAACGTACAGAAAAAACAAGTCATGAGGAATTAAAATAGGTACTTTATGTGGAAAGAACTATAAAAGAAATTGTGAAGTTTCGTGAATTGGTAGAATCATATACAGTTGAACAAAAAAAAAATATTTCCAGATCGGTACGCAATGCTGTCAAATATGCAGGTTGATTTTGTAAAAAAACTCTTTGCCTTGCCAATATAATAATTGAGATACTGATTATAATCATTTATATTTTGTTATTGGCCATATTCGATTTCAAATAGGTAAACTAATGATAATGAATTGCCTTCTTTCAACTTGGCTTAATATCTATAATCTTCATGACTTGTCTATTTCACTGATCACATAATCTGACCAATCACAAGCCAGAGACAAAATTTGCTTATTGCAAAAACATTGGCTGTCTTTTAATTCTGATTGGTCTATCAGCGTTGATGTTTTCAACAATGTAACCATGGATAGCGAAGCAAAGTCTGGATGTAACCATGGAAATCGAAGCAAAGTCTGTCAGTTTGGCATAAAATAATTATGGCTGTACTTGTCAGAATGAATCACTCATATATATTAAATCCTCTTTATGCTTCGTGAACGTGAAATGGTCTGGCATAATACCACTCTGTGCTGAATATCTTCTGATGATTTTGTCTTTCATTGTTAAATCAATTGTGTTGGCGTACAGAAATAGGATGAAGCGACAGAATTATCTCGAATATTCAGGAAATCGTGATATTATTATTACCTATGGAAATAATCCAGACTAGTTGTGTATCTACATCTAATAAAAATTTTGATATTATGCGCTATGACTATTTTACTATGAAATGTCAGATTTGACATAATAGTTAATCTACATTGATGACTTATGACCCTTTAACTCACTTCAATATAGGTACTATATCTCTATTATGTTTGACTGGAAGCCAACCACCTCTACAAAAAATTAGGTGAAGAAAAATCCATTATAGATTCAACATTTCAAATATCCATATACAAGGTGTTTCCTAACTTCGGTTCCTAACTGCAGGGGGTGATTTGTTAGGTCATTTTGAGAAGAGAAGTTTCTATGAACATATGTCCGGAGTTGCTTCGTTTCTGAAATACAGGGCGTTGAAATTAAAGAAAAAAAACGGTAGGTAATTATAAAACATCATGAATATCCTGGAACCGATTGGGTTGAAATTTGGTACTTTTATTTGTCGAATAGTCTAAAATTCCATCATATCAAGTGTCAATTATATTTTTGGCGGAAAAACTCATTTCTCCAATGCAGGGGTTCATGATATGCAATACAGTGGCTTTAATTTTTTTTCTCGAAAACGAAGCTGAATATGGAGAAAATACAGGAGACCAAACATTTGTATTTCGAGTTGCTTAATCTAAAAAGAATGAAAATTCACCAAAAAAAGTCAGTGGCGTACTTTTTTTTACAATATTGTTGGCTGTAGTGCCCACTGAGACGCCACTGGCAGCAATAATTCCAATCTAAATAAGGCTAAATAAGCGCCTCATCAGTTCAAATGAAAGTACCAAATTTCAACCAAATCGGTTACAGGATATTCATTATATTTTGTAATTACCGTTTTTTTTTCTTCAATTTCATCGCCCTGTATCTCAGAAACGAAGCAACTCCGAACATATGTTAATAGACGATTTCAATTGCCAACTTTGACATACATTGACAAGACAAATATCATGAATTGGTCAGCGTATTTCCAGTCTTATCACTAATGGAATACCATAGGGATATTCCTAATCGATGAATTTTATATGGCCAATTTAACAGTTTTGCAGACGGCAAATAGTTTGATAGTTTTCAATCAATACGGATTTAGTCTTACTCTTCGAAGACGCACTTTTCACAATTTCTTTCAACTTTCCACACTGTACACTATCGGACAAGCACAAAAAACAAATAGGACGGACACTTCACAACATATAATCCAAATTATTTTCAATCCAATCCAAATACCTATAGCTGATAAAAATCTGAAAGAAATATCACTTTACGTTAACCCTAGTCCAAGAGATGATTAGTAAAAAAAGCTCAATACTATTTTCGACTTGTAAATCTTCTGTTTCCAGAATTTGAAAGCCCTTTTGTAAGCAGGCTCCCCAAGCGTCGTCTTTGGCTCCATCGTTTTTTTTTTGAAAGCTCTAGTTGGCCGTGCGGATTTCTCAAATTTTCACTTACCATTGCGAGATTGTACTGCTAAGTTGCCTTCTAGTAAGATTGGACCAGAAGTGGAGCAAAGAGCAAGACGGGATAGGAGTTTTATACGGCCAGATGGCGCTCCAATCGGGAGAACTGGCTGAAACTGAAACCACTGAAAGAAAGGTCGACCCGGCTGAACGGAGAGCTGGCAACCGCGCCCGAGGTTTGATTGCTTTTTACGTGGAAATATTTGGGAGTCTTTCGTACCGAGTGGACGAAAATAAGTCTGGCCAGTGTCGTACGATTGGGAGAAGTAAACAGACGCTCTTTCGTTTGAAATGGGCTTACATCACAAAAAAAAAATCATTTCATAATTCGATAGAACTAAACTAGCTCACCACCGCAAACCGTTTCTTGCTGTGAGCTCCCTACGTTTTATAAAAAAATATTGAAATCCCCGATTTTTCGGATCTCTGAAAACGGGGTGATGATGTGACGTCAAAACCCTAATACTGAAACGAGACTATTCCAGACAAAGATGAATGATACATGATTTCTGACAGATTGAATTAGCGCGAGATCACAGTTGAAAGAATTAATATATCAGTTGCCTCAGTCTCCGTCGGGCGTTTGGTATTTTATTCTTCTAACCATGGCGAGATGAGGTTTCTACGTCATTAGAGGGTCCGTTTTCAGAAGGTACTATTATTTATGTCCAAAAATAAAACATTCCAGTTGATTTTTCGATCAAATTATGTCGTCAATCATTATTTATGTATAAAAGGAACAATATAAACATGGTTTGAGTAAAAAGTTTTACTAAGGTGTACACGCCCATTGCAATCTTATCTATAATTATTGTTTTACTTGCTGACCCGGCAAACGTTGTTTTGCTATACAGGGTGTTCCTTAAAGACAAGGTGGTGATTCTTTACCGCATTTCAAGAAAAAAAACTTCCCACTATCGTATATGTCCTAAAAGTCTTAACATTCGAGATACAGTGTGATAAAGTTTTTAAATAAAAATCAGTTTTTCTATAATAACTGGAATAATATTGTACTCATCTCTATGAAATATGGTATACAGGGTGATCCACGGTGGATGGCCTATTAGAAGTATCTGGAGAACGAAAAAACAGAACATTCTGAAAATTGGAATGCTTTGATAATTGAACATTCTGTATCCGTCTAAAATATTTGCATCGATACAGTGTTGCCACTTCTATTAGAAACAACTAGCAACTTCGTTATTTTAAATGGAGCACCCTGTATTTCATTGCATTTTTAGATTCTTCCTGAAGAGTTGATTCCAACAATGGATCACACTTGGAGTCTAGCAGGAATGATTACAGAAATATAGGGTGTTCAAAATCGAGATTTTTCAACTTTGGGATTTTTTTGTGTTGAAACTATTCATTATCGGTCAAAACGGCTTCCATGTCCCTATCTCAACTTTTGATTGACTATCTACTGACATTTAATTGGAACAGATACAGGGTGATCAGAATTCTGAATCTTGAAGCACTCTGTAATTTTTCCAATAAAATTCCAGTAGATAGTGAATCAGTAGTTGAAATAGGGACATGTGAGCCGTTTTGATCGATAATGAATAGTTTCGACACAAAAAAATTCTAGATTTGAAAAATCTCGATTTTGAACACCCGATATCTCTGTAATCATTTCTGCTAGACCCCAAGTGTGATACATTGATGGAATCAGCTCTTCAGGAAGAATCTAAAAATGCAATAATATACAGGGTGTTCTATTTGAAATAACAAAGTTGCTAGTTGTTCCTGATAAAAGTGGCAACACTGTATCGATGAAAATATTTCAGGCGGATAGAGAATGTTCAATTATCGAAGCATCTCAATTTTCAGAATGTTTTGTCTTTTCGTTCTCCAGATACTTCGAATAGGCAATCCACCGTGGATCACCCTGTATATCTTCTATGCATCAAGGTGCATTTTTTGAAGTATAGAAATTTTCCTTTTCCCTACCAGTGGCGCCGTTAGGGGGATATGATTGACTATATTATACTTGAATGTGAGCAACGAAGGAATATTTCCAAATTCAATAAAATGCTATAAAGAGTCATTCAATTGTTGATATTTGTAATTGGTTAATATTTCAAAACTCTTGTTCAATTGGCTCAACTTATAACTTATATATTTCTTTTTTTTTTCTGTATTCAATTCCATTTTTCTTTGCCATTCTATATCATAAATTGATCATTCCATGACACTTTTTATTTTGTTAGATACTAAGACTAGATTTGAGCCTGGTTGAGTGGAAGACCATCATCTTGCTAACAGCAAGAGATAAACTTCGCCAAGTTCATTATTATTATCATTATTATTATTATTTTCATCACCGAAATTGATGAAAGAGAATGGAATATCGCAAAAATTTCCAATTCTCGAATCCTACACCCTTACCAAATTTGAATATCATACCTTCGGAACTCTGGAGACCATGGCTTGTCTTGACACCCGGTACACAGTATACCTAGTGATTGTGGTACGTATACTATACAGGTGAAACAAAGATACCTCTTTCAATAAGGACAAAAGAACATAAGATCACCATAAAGAAAAGACATATCGACGAATCAAAATTAATAGTTCATATCCTCACTGAAGATGGACACCAAATGGCAGATTAGAAGAATATTGTTTCTAAAATGTTTCTAAAATGTTCTAAAATTGTTCTTATCCGTCATCCGACTGCTTTCTTACGAGCAACCCTCAGAAGTCCTCAAGAGAATTGTGACTAAGGAATGACAGGGGACTTACCTCTTGAAGTGTGATCCCAAACAAAGGCTATCCGAAAAACTCTGCAGTGGTGGGAATCGAACCCACCAACGTACCTATGATACAAAAACTGCTTCATCTACATATTAGTGCCTCTTCAAGATCTTGTCCTTTTAATACCGAAATCTTCAGAATTTTCCTGTAACCTGAAGCTCTATGCAACCTCAGTGAAGTAATCACAGCATTCATCTAGACAGAGATGTATAGAAATTTAACTGGTGGGCTCACTCTTCAATTGTTTCGTCAGACTAACTCTCGATATGGAACAATTATTGTAAGCGAGTTTTGGACGTGGGGTTCAGGTATTTGCGATAGAGGCGCCATAATCGGAAAACCTTGGTTCTGTGAGGGATGAATCTATTTCCATCATTGTTCTGTGGTCGAATGAATACTGTGCTCAACATTTTCATTCAAATTTCAATCTGAAATAGAAGCAAGAAATCTTGTTCGTAGCCGATTTTAATAAGCTTCACTTCTTTCATGACATGAACCTATATAAAGCATAAAATCTGATGAAGTTCCTCTTTGAAGAACCAGAACAAAGAATGTATCAACTATTGAAATAGACCAATATCGAAAATCATAATAGGCAGATATGGTAACTGGTACTCACCTTAGAATTTATTCACACCAGTTCACGCTAATATTTCAAATCACCGAAATGATACTGTTGTAAAACAGAGATTTTCTCTTTTCTATGGTGGATTAGGTATTATACAGAAAATTTAGAAACTACGGAACACGTCCCTAACGAACACTTGACCCCAATCTCAGAAATAACCATTTTTTTTTCTGTGACGGGAAAAAAGTTTGACATTTCATCTCTGTTGACAGGTTATAAAATGTCCCTTTTCAAAAATTACTTTTTTCCCGTGGGAAAAAAGTGAGTACTTTTTTCCCGTATACTCATAAGTATGGTAGATATTTGATTCAGAATATTTTATTAAACGAAAGTTACATTTCCTTCATATCAAAAGTACAATTATTGAATGTGCATTGCATGAGTGACACGTTCCTTGAAGTATTCGGAACAACAGAAGAATTTTCTCGTGTTGAAATTATATTTCTTTCTGCCATGGACACAACTGCCATTGATATACCTGGTTGCAAATGGGGTGTTATTTCGGCAATGCCACAAGTTCTGAATACTTCATTAGCTATTTCTGCGACCGTTGATGACTTCCAATCGCCATGTTTCTTCGGTGTCAGCAAATCTCCCCCAGATTCAACTAAAAGTGTAGCAGATGATCTTCGAAATGAATGACCTGTATATGAGGTAGCATTTTCAAGTTTTAGAAAACTAGCTACTGCTTCAGATACCTTGTAAAACTGATTTTTGACCCACAACTTGATTGATACATTTTCCATTGCGATATGCATAAAACAGGCGGCGATCCTTTACTGTTGTTGGACGCAGGGCTATGTATGTTTGGTAAAATTTAATATATTCTTCAGTAACTACGAATCTTTTGTCCAGATCATTCTTTGTTTGCTTGAGTTTCCCAATTAATATCGTTCCTGAATCTTCAATATCATCTAATGTTACCTGGCTGATTTCACAAATTCGACAAGCTCCTGCAACCCCGAATACAACAACAACTTTGGCTATTAAATAAACTTCATCAGGAGCATTATTTAAAAATTCGCCAATTTGTGTACTCGTAAAAATCGCTGCTTTCTTGGGTTTGTAACCTTTCCCATTTTGTTTCAGGAATGTAATTAGTTTGGGATATTTTGAAATGTCTACATTATTATTGGATTGTAACATACTTTTAATCATTGAATAATTTGACCACACTGTTGATGGCTTTTGTTGCTGAGCCAGTTCGGAAAAATAAGCCAATACCACCGTTTCCGAGAAAGAACTGCATGACTTTTTCATTCTCCATTCCATGAATCTTGAATACGCGGTTTCGTAAATTTTCCGCGATTTAGCTGGCAATAATTTTTGTGACGCTTCTTTCGCTGCTTCAACTAACTCCGGTTGAGTAAGAGAAAACTCGAATTGAGACATTTAATATTATTCAAAATAACTACTAAATCACTATATTATAAGTTCGCAATGATTTTCAAATCAAAATACAGAATTACATTGACAGAATATGACAATAGAATGACATAGCAACAAAGATGCCCACAATGGAGGTGTGAGAAGTACAAATTTCACATTGATAATTTTCTGATTATATTATGTAATATCTTTTCAATATTAAAGCGTCTTTCTTCCTGTCACAGAAAAAAATAGTGTATTATACACGGGAAAAATATTAGATTTTAGCACACGGTTTGTTGTCTCCCTCCGCTACGCGTCGGGAGACAACACAACCTGGTGCTAAAATCTACTACTTTTTTCCCTTGTATAATAAATAACTATTCCAGCTCAAGAATATTTTTGACATATTGACGTTTCGATCCTTTGATCAGGAATCAGTTCACTGCTCTAATCCAAATCATATACGTATCCAAATATTCAGCGGTCGGTAATATGTTTCCTGTAAATGATTGTAACCAGGATGAGCTTAGCGAGATTTAC